CATTATGATTTATGGTAAAGCATTAAAGTATACACAAAAGAAAATGATAAAAAAGCTTTGATGTTACGTCATCACAATTAATATTATTTTGTATAAAGTTAAAATTTTATATATTTAATTTTTAAATAAAATACTTAATAAAACACTTCTTTTTCAATACATATTTTTAAACATAGCTTTTTCAAAAAATGACTAAACTATTATTTTATTCTATCAATATCTTATATATTTAAATAAAACATTTCAATTAATCATTTGAATCCAATGGCCATTGGAGGATTGCACATCAAACAGGCTAAAAGAGCCAAAACAACGTGGTTTTGGTTTTTTGGACAAAAATAAAAAATTTAATCGAGCTCGCCTCAATGTGGAGAAACAAGCTTGGTATTATTTATTGCCACAATAGAATATAGCTTTATTTTTATTCTATTTAAGAAAAGAAGGATGAAAAAGAACACAGTTGTGCATAATCTTAACTTCTTTAATTTATAGGGATGACCTCGTGCGGTCCCTGTAACTTCTTAAAAGGTTATTACTTCCTTTGTTTTGTGTAGCCTAACGGAGGTAGTATGAAACTATGAACCATTCAGGAACTAGTCATCAGAATAGTCCAATGGTGAAATGTCAGTTGTTTAGATGTATCCTCACAAGTCACAAGTATGAGCCTTTTTACTATTTTTTTAACAATTTTTCTTTACTAGAAAAACATTTGTTTACTACCTAGTCTTAATTAAATAGTTCAGAGTTATGTAATTCTCTATTTTAAAAAAATGTAATGATAATCTACAATTTTTAAAAAAATATTTAACACTCATGTCAACAATGAAAATTTTATTAATAAAAATAAATACATAAAATAAGGGTAAAAATAAACACTATTTATTTACTACTTCTAAACATTTTCATAAGATCAAGCAACACAATTGAAACACTAATTGGATTGACAAAGTAACGATAGTTTACCATCATTAAAAATTTGTTTGATATTTATATATAGTTGTCTTGAAAGGAACGTAATCCAAGATGAATGGTCCCAATTGGATACAACTTGACGCAGCATTGTGATTCAATAGTTATAATTTTTTTTTAAAAAAAAAAGTGATAAAATTTATAATTTAAATTTTAAATTTTGATAATCTCATTTTTTATTTCTCAATTGTACTAGTTTTTTAAAAAAGAAATTATAAGCAACTGTAGCGGAAGCAACTCAATACAACCATACAAGCATGAAGCATCGATTTGTACTCGGGGAGTTATTATTAGAGGTGCTTCACCGCGCTTAAAAACAGATGTTAAGTTAAACCAATATTAATTATACGTTTTTACAGTGAATTTATGT